CAGTTTCAGTCATATAATTTCAAATAGATCATGCATCTTAAGAAAATTGCAGAAAATATTTTTAAACTGTAAAACTATAAAAAGACATGCATCTAAAACTGACTTTACAGAAGGCATTAAAGTAATTTGCTTATATTTCAATTCTTTACAAGAATAACTATCTATCTAGGCGAGCCACTTCATTCCCTGAAAGCTTAACATTTATAAAACAAAAGTAAAAGTGATAATATCCATGACAATGACCATATTCAACAACAGTTTCTCAGAAGATTGAAATTACTTAGGTATAAATAAGAAAAAAGGAAGCTAAAGGAATGCAAAACAAATTTATCTCAAGTAAAACTTGTCAAAGAACAATGCAGTTTTCTGTACTCATCCATCTATGAGAGTAGACTTAGAAACTGTTTCTTGAGGGAAAACCTTAGCTCTATCTTCCGAACCTCCTAATTCAGGAGCAAATCCCACATTAGGCTTCTTAATTTTCATCAGCATTATCAAGTAGTAGAAACTGAAGCAGAATTGCCAGAAACTGAATCCTGATTCTGTTATTTACTTGAAATATAACCTTGGGCAAGTTATTTGCTTTACTTTTCTTATCTGTGAAGTAGGATTCAATGAAAAAATGCAAATAAAAAAACTTATTACAGTACCTGGCAACAAAGCATTATTATTATGCAATATTATTATTGAAGAATATCAACTTGTATAGCCTCCACTCAGCTATCAAAGTATGTAGATATGCCTTAACTGGCAACACAAGGTTCCTGCCAAAGAATACATTCTAAAGTTTCTGTTGCCTAATTCCCATGAAAAATATGGTTAAAAATATATATACATATATATATTCACAAAGAGTTATACATTCTTAAAATATATTCATGAAGAATCACTTGAGAGATATGCATTTTATTTTTAAAATAAAAATAGCCCATTTATTTTTTATTATAAATTTTATCCTTGGATCAAATCAGACTATCAGAAAACCACGTATTTGTAGCATATTACTGATTTCATAGAGTTCTGCATTCAGATAAACTGCACTTTGGAAATATGTTCAAAATGTTACTGAAAACACTGCTAGATCACGTTATAATCCCTTTTAAATCTAACAGAAGGGAAAAAAATTCACATCTTCAAATTCAGTATCAGGAAAAAACTCCTTTAGAGTAATTGGTTTGCTTTTGCATTAGGGATACTGTGAACCTCATAACTGATTCTCTTTGCTTTGATTAAATAAAATGAGAGTCAAAGTTTCTGCCCTAATTGTCCAAAAAATAACAGGCCTGAACTACTCTTTTCTATTGTTTTATAGTACACTCTTCCACTTATTTTCTATTTTCCTGGATCTGCTTGTTTTTACCCTATTATATTATAAATATTTGTGAAACAAAATGAAGTAAATATAAATGCATATGACTTTTCTTTTACATGTATCCATTGCTTATATAGTAAATTAGGAAGGAAAGTTATTACAAATAGAACCATGCTACAATCAAGTTCAGAGAATTGGGGAGGTAAAATTTTTATAAATATTCAAAATAACTCTCTAGTTAAAATTAAAACCAATTATTAAAAAGTTAGAAGGAATCAAGAGAGATATGCAAAGGATCAAGAATGGTCAAAGCAATGTTAAAAAACAAGAGCTGGAGGACTTGGACTTCTAAATATCAAGGTTTACTATAAAGCTTACCAAAAAAAACCACAGTAATTAAACCAGTGTGGTGTTATTATAAGGGTCAGAAAAAAAAAAAAAAAACAATAGAACAGAATAGAGTGGCTAGAAACAGATCTACACATATATGGTCACCAGGTTTATGACAAAAGAGACCCTGTATAATGTTATTTCATATTTAAATATTTAACGCAAACATGTTAATCTACAGATATAGATGTTATAGGAATTTTTTCTTTAAAAAAAAAAGTGACACTTGAATTCAGTAGGGGAAAGGATAGTCTTTATAATAAATATTCTTAAACAAAAAAAAATTATTGACAAGAATGGCTTTGTTTCACATTTTTACACACTTCTTTAATATCTTAGTTTAACAAAACACAGTTGGATCCTTCTAACTCCTTCTGCATTCAAACTGATACATGACAGTTTGTTCTGATTTTTTACCAAAAAAATCAAACGGAAAGAAATCATACTCCACTGAGACTTGATCTTTTTCTACCCAATATATCCTGAAACTTTCTTTTTTATGTGTAGTAAACTGTTACTATAATATTTATGTCCTTCAACAAACAACCCCTCCTATTACTTACATGTTTGTGTAGTCTATTCCCACACTGAGCTTGGCAATATGACCTGTTTGGGCCAGAGGACTTTAGCAAGCATGATGCCAGCAGAAGCTTAATAAGAGCTTTGCACCTGCGACATGTCTTCTTGAAATACTGCCTCTTAGAAGGTAGCCACCATGCTATTGTAGGGGTGCAGAACAACTCACACCAAGATGTGCCTCTGTGGTATGCAGATTATTTTGAGCTACAGGTACTTGAGACTCTGAGGGCTCAATAGAAATTTCAGCCCCCTCCCATCTCTTGAACTATCCAGAAGAATTTGAATTAGGGACCTTGCCTATAATAAGAATTATCGGAGATAAACTTTTTAAATATATATATACAGCAGGACAAACTAATTATTGAACATCTGGTCTTCTTATTGTCCTGTAATGACTCTTTGAAGCCCCAAGGCACCTTGCCTTATCCTTAGTTCAGAATGACAGATTTATATACCTCATTTTAACTTTCTGTCCCTGAACCTCTCATGCATATAGAGTCTGTGACTCTCTCATGCATGTGAGATTCTCATGCATATATAATTAAATTTGGTTATTTTGTTATTGTTGTTAAACTGTCTCAGCCAAAAGAACATATTAGGAGGGTAGAGGAAAGTTTCTTCCTCCCGCACAGCTGGAGCTTTGAACATATGCTATTAAGATACCTCATTGGCCAGGCACTGCTCACCCTGAAGCTGCTGCAGCAGAAAGATCCTGGGACCTCTAGCATGCCCATAAAGGTAAGAATTCTTGCCAAATCAGACTCCCAAATCTCTACTGGCAGAGGCCAGTGGTAGAAGAGTGTCCTTTTTTTCCTTTTCTAAATTTAGATTAGCGGGAAAAAACATTTGTGAAACTAATTTATTGGGCTTAGCAACATTTGATTATTTGGTATGAGTACTTATAGGTTTTGTTAATTCTATTTCTTTCTCTGCGTCTAGTGTCTCTCCTTTTGTCTTATTATATGTTCAGAGAGCTTGGCCTTATGACCAGTGAGAATATTTTCTCTCTGGGCTCCACTATCTAGAGGGTGCACCTTGCTTTCTGTCCAGCCATACCAAGCTCTCAAGGGAGTTTTCTGTGTCTATCCATTTCCTCCCAGAGATGGTAAAAACGAGGCCTCTCATTCTTGTTTTCTGCCAGTTGGAGGATGTATATGCATCTGTCAGGCAGTCAAGTAGGCTGTGGATTTGAGCTTAGGGAGTATAAACACTCCCTTCAAAGTGGTGGGGAGTACGGTACAAGATTCCCTGTTTCTGGGAATAGCTCTTTCTAACTCTGGGAGTTAACTTTATCTTGTGAGGGTTGCATCTTTTTGCACTCTCCTTGGGGGATGCCTCTTGCATCCAGAGTATTGGTCTGAGTCACTATTAAGATCCTACTCATCAAGGTCAGGTAATAGATCCTTTGGAAATTTTTCTAAATTAAAAAGAATGAAAAATTTTTAGACAGCTCTCATATTGTTATAATGGCTAGTCATTAAAATTCTCTTAATAAGATGCAGGGACAAATTAGAACAAAAATCAAAGTCCACTCAGACCCCTTCCTATTTGCCTACAGAAATTTGCAGATATTGTAAAAGAAGAAAAAATTGGGATACTGGAAGTACAATTGTCCTGGACTTAAGAAGAAAAAAAATAGTAAATATTACTAAAAAACAACCTAAAAATTTATATCTTAAGAACTCAGCTTGGGAACTGCCAGGTTGTAAGCTCCAAAGTATGGCCAGACAGAAATGTGGGCTAAAGTCCATTGATGGCTAGAGTCCTACCAAACAGCTGCCAGCCCTCAAGGAAATTATAACCTAAAATTACAATGGCTATTGTAAGTAATGTTTCAAATAGATTAGATCATTTAAAAGTGCACTTAAAAGCGAGGGCTTCCAAATCAAATAAACTAAATGAGATCCAATTTTTTTAATATTGATAGGGGTGGAACAAAGAGAAATTTCCAGAACTCTTTGATAAGGGAATTCCATGGACTGTGGGCACCAAAACCCATTGGTGAAGCCCTGACTCAGGCTACAATTAGATTAAAAATATATATAAATGTAAGCATTTATAAGATTATGAAAACTGAAATTTTTAATCAGGCTGTATGGTAAAAAGAGTTATATCAACTTTACCTGAATGTTTTATGAGAATGGATATTATGTCTGGAAGAGAACAAGTCTTCTACCCAGGCTTGTAAAACCAACACATGTAGATAAAGTCCTATTAGAGGCTATAGTTAAGAATGTAAGAGTTGATGGAGTTAAGGTAAAAGTTAATAGGTGAGTTGGTATATTTTGAATACGTTTATGTGAAGCAATTGAAACTCTTTTATCTGATTGTATTGTGGAAATAGACACTGTGTCTCTCTGGGAAGCACTCCCCTGTCTGCTGAGAATATGAAGGCTGTCAGTTCTTTCTTTTGGCTATCAAAGGGAATGATCTAGAAGGTATG